GCAAGATGAGGTAGGATGAGAGGTAGGAAAAAAAAAGTTACAAAAGAGAAAAAGGGGGTCAGACTGGGAGTCTCGGAAGCTCATTTTCCTGTGCTGTTCATGACTTAGCCTCTCCTGATTCTATCTCTATTTGTCTCTGATTAGATTTCTTTTTTTTTTTTTTTTTGAGACGGAGTCTCGCTCTGTCGCCCGGGCTGGAGTGCAGTGGCCGGATCTCAGCTCACTGCAAGCTCCGCCTCCCGGGTTCCCGCCATTCTCCTGCCTCAGCCTCCCGAATAGCTGGGACTACAGGCGCCCGCCACCTCGCCTGGCTAGCTTTTTGTATTTTTTTAGTAGAGACGGGGTTTCACCGTGTTAGCCAGGATGGTCTCGATCTCCTGACCTCGTGATCCACCCGCCTCGGCCTCCCAGAGTGCTCTGATTAGATTTCTTAGGTTATTAAAATCAGAGTGAGTAGGTCTGTCAGAAGATTCTTATTATGAACATCATTGTATGTCTGGGAAGACAATCCCACTTCAATTTCTGAAAAACAGGGAAGGAAAAAAAAAAAAAGGAAAATGGGGCCAGGCACAGTGGCTCATGCCTGTAATCCCACACTTTGGGAGGCTGAGGCAGGAGGACTGGCTTGAGGCCATGAGTTTGAGACCAGACTCGGCAACATAGTGAGACTCTACTACTACCAAAAAAAAAATTTTTTTTTACGTTGCTGGGCATGGTGGCGCACACCTGTAGTCCCAGCTAGTTGGGAGGCTGAGACTTGAGCGGAGGAGTTTGAGGCTACAGTGAGCTACGATCATGCCACTGCTCTCCAACCTGGACGACAGAGCAAAACCTTCTTTAAAAAAAAAAACCAAAAACTATGTATTTACATACATAGTTCCATGTTAAATTTTATCCAGGATCCTAGACTGATGAAATGCAAGGACTTCTCATATGTGCTGCTTAAGGATTTCATCAGTCGTCCTCAATTCCCAATCCTTTGCCTCTTATGAAAAGTTGTTTTCAGCAACATAGTTCAGATCTAAATTCTCATTAACTGGCTTCAAGAAACTAAGCCATTTGCATGGGATTCAAGGGTCATTTCAAACTAGTCTCTACTGAGGCAGGTTTAAACCCTGGCTCTCAGGCCAGGGGAGGTGGCTCACGCCTGTAATCTCAGCACTTTGGGAGGCCAAGGCGGGTGGATCACTTCAGACCAGGAGTTCAAGACCAGCCTGGCCAGCATGGTGAAACCTCGTCTCTACAAAAAAATACAAAAATTAGAAGTGCCAGCTACTTGGGAGGGTGAGTGAGGCGATTGCTTGAGCCCAGGAGGTGGAGGTTGCAGTGAACCCAGATCATACCACTGTGCTCCAGCCTGGAGGATAGAGACTCTGCCTCAAAACAAAACAAAACAGAAAAACCCTGGCTGTCCTCTTAGCTCTGTGGTCAAGTCAGGTGGCTCTCTGAGTTGCCATAAAAGTGTCCTTACAAGGTAGACAGGGACAGATCAGCAAGGTTTGTAAACCACATTGCATGGCACATAGTAGGTGTCAGAGAAATGACAGCATTACAAGTGCATTCTCATGTTTCACCTGGAAAGCCACTCTAGTCTCTCACTGCTTCATCAAATAATTTTGTTTTTAAAATGCTGGCATATATGTGATTAGGCTGACTGGGCTTTGCACATACATAGCAATCTAGTTCACTAATTAACGTTACATTTATGCTATCAATTACCAGCAGCTTAACAGATTGTGTGGATATTTCTTCCCTTAGATTTACATAATTGGAATCAGTCTTCTACCTCAGGTTTTCATGAATCGACCAGGATTTGTCAAGCACCTACCAACTATGCAGCATCAGGGAGAGTGCTATGATAATAAATTCTTATGAGTATCGAAGATTAAATATTAAATTCAAACTTCGGTAACAAGAATGGGGGCATCCTTTCCTGTTAGTAATCCTCAGTTCCTGTGATAGTGAAATAGCCAAGCCCTAATGAACGATCTCTCAACAGAAATCTGATACGTTAGTAATGGTAGATGGCTATCAGTATGTTTTAAAGGTAATTATAAAAATGGTTTATTTCCCTTGTTTTATTAACACAGTCACTAAACTTCAATCTCAGTGTTTAATTTTCCCCAACAGTTTAGCTATTTCCAAGAAAAACAATCATTTGAAGACTGGCATTGCAGATAACAAAACAGTATTACCTGGTACTGGCTTCTCTTTCAGTAGGTAGTTTCAGTGGAAACAGAACCTCAAACCTGGCTACCCCGTTCCCACTTCACATCCATTAAAACACAGCCTTACTTTTTGCATTTCACGATTATCAAATGAACGATTCACTTCACGAAAAGAACAGTGAGCAGAATCCTGGAGAACCACGGAACTCCCCACCACATTGTGCTAAACACATCGTTAGCACAGACACGGGAGACTGTCATGCTTCTCAAATCCTTCTCTTCCAGAACACCTGAGGATTACAAAACCAACACTTCTACTTAAAAAAAATTTTAATTAAAAAAAAAATAAGTGTAGTCAGGGCAAGAAAAGGAAAACAGGGTCTTTACTGTGTGTAGTTCTAACAAACATTCACTGTGCGTGCATTCCAGCAGAAAGAGACAAAGATCTTCGTTCAAAATATTCTGACATAAAATAGGTACACTAACGCCATTAGTGGATATACAAAAGGAATGTTAATGTTACTTGTTCACAGTCAAAGGTGAAGTTAAAAAAACAGGGAAGTTAAATAACTGAAGTCATGGTTTGCCCAAATAGCAAACGTAGGATACAAGCGTGGGCAAAGAGCAGCTACTGAAGCTCACGAGGAGGATGCTGGATATAGGGTAGGTAACTTGGCAAATGCCTCTGCTTCTTTGGAGCCTTCTTCCTCGATCACCCCCACAAATTCCAAACCTGGCTCTTTCAGAGCACAACAGCCAAATGTAACTAAACTCCTCATTACTTCTGTGATATTTGGCAACAGAATGAGATAGTTAAAAAAAGAAAAATCAATTTCTTGTTGAGGCAAGACATGTCTGAATCCATTTCTCCTGGGGTAGGAGGAGGTCATGAACATCAACGTTCTGCATCTCAATCTCCTAAAATGGAATTTAACCAGATAGATATTGCTTGAGATTTTAAAGCAGGAGATACCATAAGTAATGATTTAAGGCCTGTAAAGCATTTTTCATTGTCCCACATTGCAGCTAAATGAGTATAAACTCGACAGTGTTCTGATTTCACAACATATGCATTTATGACAACTGCTAAAAGAACTTTACAGGCTCAAAAGATAGGTTCCAAGGGATTTTTGTTTTTGCTTAAGGAGTCTTGAGATCTAAACACAAGATAAACTTTGACCCCACCACTCTGTTATCTTTACAAATGCGGAAGTCATTTGGAAACCAAAACCAATTGCTGAGTAGGGGCTGGGGAATTTTGGTGTCATTTCAAACTAGTCTCTACTGAGGGAGGTTTAAACCCTGACTCTCAGACCAGGGGCAGTGGTACCAACACCCTCTATTTTGGTGGCACGAAACTTCTCTTACCTCCTCCTTCGTGTCCAGCAGCCATGATGTGTACAGTCCAGTTTGCAGCAGCAGCAGCAGTTAGTCCTCCTCAGGAATAAACAACCAAACACCCCGGAGACCAGCTCCAGGTGGCACTGTCAGCCAATGGGGACTGGCTCCACTTGCTCTCCAGAGGACTTTCACCACCTACCCACGTCAAGACTGTTTTGTGAATTCAAGTCTACTTCCTTAAAAAAAAGTCCTTTTGGATGGATTTGGCTAGTGTGCTATATTACTTTATTGTTTAGAAAAACCTCCGCAAACTCTCACACAAGATTTACCTTTCACCTGGCTGTTTTTGTAGGCAACAGAATAATAGTAAATGGACCCCCAAGTGGTTTTTCTAATACAAAGTGACATCACATCAGCGGTAGCTCAGAAGCACATCAGAAGCAGCCCTGGGTACTGCAGGGATTTCATGGGTGGAAGAGACAAAGTCTAATTATCTTTTCCTCTGGCTCTCAGTAAAAAACAAGTCCAGATGTAAACAGGAAAAGAAAACCAATGTGAAGTAGAAAAACATACCTTTTGCACTGGCATTTACCTTAAAAATAACAAAAACACCAATTTTACTTAAGATGGTAGTTCTCTAACATTGCTTATAAGCCAGATGTTTCTCATTCAATTTTGGACATTGCCAACACACTTTTACAACTGATTCAAGTTATCTTCAGGCTTGGCTTTAGATTGAATGTTCCATTTCAAGCTCCTCAATACTCCTCTGTTCTTTACTTTTACCCCAATGTACTCCAATAATCACATAATTTATTTATTACAGGCAATCATATACCAATCCTTCCTTGCCTTTAAATAGAAAAGCATCAAGTCATACCACTGTTGTTAAATAATAACCAAGGTTTTTATCAATATTGTCTTAAAAGTAGCATCTTATAATGCATACGAACATTTTTCTAAAGATAAAAGTTTTACTAAACCCATATCCCTGACATTTTGTAAAACTCAGCCAGAAATCTCCTAAAATTACTCCCAAATATATCCAAGTGTGCAAGTACAAGGTTAATATTATTTTGATGAATTCTGTATTCATTCAACTGCTAAATCACAGGATACAAGACCTGGGTTGAACTTTTTCTTAAATAGTTTGCATGGGCAGTCCCTGGTTTGCTGGGCAGTTTCCTGTCTCATCAAATCCCTGGCAAGCTGGGAGGGAGGGAGGAGATGCTGAGCAGCCTCTATGGTCCTTCTTGAACCAAGCTGCTCCCTGCCGGATATGACAATGGCTCAGAAGCAGACTAGCAATTCTCAAAGGACAGGGAGAAAAATCACCACAGTTGCTGGCAGAAAACAGCCAGTGTACTATTTATTTCCTCAGGTGCTTCTATGGGGAAAAAAATAAGTCTAATATGCCAGAGAAATCATCACTGAACCAATAAGACACAGTAACATAATTCTAGTAACCTACTTCTCAATGAACACACATCAGAGAAAAAAACTGCCAGTATTTTATTCTCATGGAAAAACAGAACAAACCCACAAGTTGGAGTCATGGAGGTAAAATACAGAAGAAATGGAAAACGGGCTCTTGTCATGAACTCTCACTTTCAAATACCATTTTCTATGGAAGTTACTTTACTCGGGGCAAACAGAAGGCCATGCTGGAGTCTCTTACTTTTGGAAAATGGAGAATCAAAAATTTGCTAATCAACAAACAAAATAGGAGGGAAAATCCTTGGTAAAGCTCTACAGACATAATTATACATTTATATTTTACCAATAAAAGATAGCTAGGGTAGAAAAAACAGATGGTTAGAAACTGGTGCCAAACCAAAGTGAAAGCTTTGGTGCTTTTTCTAAACTCCTATCCTGAAGTAGTGTTTTTCAGTATTTTTCTAAAGAAAGATAACTCTGAATTCACCAGGGTTCTATCACCCCAATTCATCCCTCCCTTTCCAGCCCCAAGATATAAAAGGGCCATGTAGTTTTTTTGTCCGGCACCACTTGGGAAGGGGCTGGGCTCAGGGGGTGGGAAGAGCTACCCGCTGCCCTAGCTTGAAAGGGAGGAGGAGGTGGCCACACCATTCCTTGTAGCTTTATCATGCACATAAAAGGAACAAAACTCATTTGGCAGTTTTAAGTTTAATAGGTGCATACCTTTACTTCAGGAATTAAACCCCTTATGATAAATAACAGAATTAAATCAGATTTTTTTTTTAAAAAAAACAGATAAGAGTCTCGCGATGTTGCCCAGGCTGGTCTCAAACTCTTGGCCTCAAGCAATCTTCCCACTTTGGCCTCCCAAAGTGCTAGGATTACAGGCCTGAGCCACCGCACCCAGCCCTAAATAAGAAATTTTTTTAAAAAATTTACTTAAAAGAAAAATGAAAAAATAAAAGTTTCAACACTAGACTGCCGCCCTGTTAAGAATATCTAATGTGCAATCAAAGTATTGGAAAGCAGGCATTTTTACGAAAGAGCAATGTCACTATAACTTATGAACACGAAGTTTTGAAATATAAGGGTACTCATGGAAACCAGTGAAGAGAGGAAACACCGGCAATCATTTGACACAGAACAGTGAGCAGGTACTTTGGGAGTAAGGCTCTGAGAGATGGAGGACGCTGGTCCTAGATCTGAGGTGGATGTCTGGCCAATCGTCTCGGCTCCAAGGGGGAAGAATGCAACTGGCAGGATTTGAGGAGAGGGCACTTCTGCAGCCCCCAAGCAAGTCTCTAGTTTTCACCCCAAAATGGATGCACTTTCCAACTTCAGCAAGGCCTCCTCAGGAGGATTTGCTTTCCGATGTGTAGTAGCGGTACAGGAAACCTAAGAGAACAGCGCCTATGATGGGTAAAATCCAGTATGACCAGCAACTAGGAGGAGGGGGAGAAAGCAATAAAATTGTTAATATTTTAAGACAAATGTTCACTATCTTTCAGCTTTCACATGTTTTTATATGGGCAAGGAGTTTTTATTTACTTTGGGAAATTTAACTGCTTTTATCACAAAGTAGTTGGGGAAAAAATATTTGGATTAGAGTGACAAAATTACAAAGTAATTTTTTAAAAGGTTAAAAACAACCAATAGTATGATATCAAATAAGATGCCTTTCCATGCCTTTATATGTGTTTCTACAAAGTCATATAGTGGTTATTTCTGAGTTAGGGATTATGGATACTCTCACATTGTCTTCTCTGTGCTTTTGCTTTTCACGTATTCTGCAATTAACATTTTTAAACAGGAAAAAACACCCTTATGTGACATTTCATATATGGATTTAAAAAATCCATCCCAATATAAATTTGGAAGTAATCATATCTAATATAACTACCAGAAATATCCTATCTACTTCATATGTATTTTAAAGATTTAATCCTTACAACACCCTATGAAATAGGGTTATTACTCTCATCTCATACAAGAGAAACATAAGCTTTGCACCCCAAATCCCAAAGCTAGTAAGGGAGTTGGACAGTGTGATTTCAAACTCCTCTTCTTAATCCCTAGTTAAGTTTGGACACTAATAAGGATACACATACACAAAAAGTATATACAGTTCTAATAGGGTAAAGCAAATGGCAGCTTCAAAAGTACTGCAAGAGCCTTTCCTTAGGAGCTTCAGAACAGTCATCATTCTCCTTAACATAATAATTCTTTAATAGAACTTATTAGCACACTAGTTTTAAAGTATAATTCTTCCATGATCCAAATGACCCGGCTGCCCCTCTACTTAAAACATATGAGTCTTGGTATTAAAAGGTTTTGAAGTCAATAAAACGAGCTGAAGTTCATAAGAAAAATGATTCTTTGCCTAAACATGCCTAGCACTCTGTATGCTTACGTATGGCAGAAAGCTATGCTGGACTAGTTTGGAATGTTAGCCAGGCAGTTTTGTTTAAAATACCAAGCAATACGGCATGTATAACAGCAATATGCACTGGGAACTCTGAAGTAATCTCCTGATAAGAGTAATGAATTCAGACTCCTTGAAGAGCAACCACAAAAGCCTAAAGAATCCAAAAGTAGGATCCTTAAGAAAACACTGAAGAAGAAAATTTGCCTTTTTTTTTTTTTTTTTTTGAGATGGAGTCTCACTCTATCGCCCAGGCTGGAGTGCAATGGCCCGATCTCGGCTCACTGCAAGCTCCGCCTCCCGGGTTCACATCCTTCTCCTGCCTCAGCCGGTGGATCCGCCCGCCTAGGCCTCCCAAAGTGCTGGGATTACAGGCATGAGCCACCGTGCCTGGCCAGAAAATTTCTTTAGTACAAAAGACTGAGAATGGTTGACACCAATACTCACATAATTTTTCCTAATACTTAACTGCGACTGAAGAGAGAACCAGACGAAACACATTTATACTGCATCACAGGAGATTCAGGTTCAACAATAACTTCCTGTCCTAAGACAGACTTTTCTTCTTGGAGATTCATCCAGATTACTACATGTTTGTGATTCATTTATTTTTATTGTTTTGTAGTGTTCCATTGTATGAATATACCACGATTTATTAGGGTTGTTTCTGATGTTTGAATATCTCGAATAATGCTGCTGTGAACATTCTTGTACATATTTCTGGGTGTACTTGTGCACACATTTCTATCAAGTATATCATTAGAAATGGAATTGCTGGGTCAAAAGTTAATTCATCCTGTCAAATTTACTAGATAATGCCAACCTGCTTTCCAAACTGATTATACTCATTTACATTACCCTAGGAGTGTTTTTAAGAGTTGGGGGATAAACTTTCCAACCAACTCTTAATTGCAAAATTTTAAATTTTTATCAATCTGGTTAGGTATGAAATATACCTATGATTTTAATTCACATATCACTAATGATGAATGAGATTAAACCTCATTTCCATATGTTTACATTTGTGTTTCCTTTTCTGTAAAGTGTTTAAATCTTTTTCTCATATTCTTTTTTTTTTTTTTTTTTTTTTTTTTGAGATGGAGTCTTGCTCATCGCCCAGGCTGGAGTGCGGTGGCGCGATCTCGGCTCACTGCAAGCTCCGCCTCCTGGGTTCACGCCATTCTCCTGCCTCAGCCTCCCAAGTAGCTGGGACTACAGGCGCCCACCACCACGCCCGGCTAATTTTTTGTATTTTTAGCAGAGACGGGGTTTCACCGTGTTAGCTAGGATGGTCTCGATCTTCTGACCTCATGATCCACCCGCCTCGGCCTCCCAAAGTACTGGGATTACAGGCGTGAGCCACTGTGCCCAGCCCTTTTTCTCATATTCTACTGAGGTTTCAAAAAACTGATTTGTAGGGATTCTTTATATCTTCTGCCTGATAATTCTTAATCAGTTTTATGTTTAGCATAAGTCTAAGTTTTATAGCATAAGCATAAGGTTTTTTTTTTTTTTTTTTGAGATGGAGTTTCATTCTTGTTGCCCAGGCTGGAGCGCAATGGCAAGATCTTGGCTCACTGCAACCTCCGCCTCCCAGGTTCAAGCAATTCTCCTGCCTCGGCCTCCCAAATAGTTGGGACTATAGGCACACACCACCATGCCCAGCTAATTTTGTATTTTTAGTAGAGATGGGGTTTCAACATGTTGTCCAGGCTGGTCTCGAACTCCTGACCTCATGATCCACCCGCCTCAGCCTCCCAAAGTGCTGGGATTACAGGTGTGAGCCACTGCTCCCCGCCCTGCATAAGCATAAGTTTTATGTTTAAAATCTGCAATTTTGTGGCTTGTATTTTCAAAATTTTATGCAGCATTTTGTTGACCCTAAGCCCTCAATATTAAGGAAACTAAATTTACTAATAGTTTGTACTTTTTTATACTGTGTCCATTACCTCAAATAATAGATCTGATATTTTATGGGAAAAAAAAGATATACTTTCTTTCTCTGAAATACCCTGAGATGTCCAAAAGATAGAATGGCTAGCTCTATATAATCTCCACAAATATATTGTACAGGCCAAGGATTCCACAGTCATTTTAGATAGAGGCACTTAAGGGAAGGCAATTTATAACTTTCAGAGCTAATACTAATGAATTACTAATATTAATGCCAAGGAATATATTGTAAGTAAACCTGAGAAAATCCAAATTCCTAAATATGACTGTAGTGTTTTTTTCTTCTGTAAAATGTAATAATAGCACCTATCTTACAGAATGGTTGTGAGAAGTAAATGAGATTAAGTTTTAAGTAGAATAGTGTAGCTGGTTTGAACTGCAGAGACTGAAGGCTGACCCACTAGTAGCTACCTGTCCATGCATACTGGCCCTCTTACTGAGTGTGATTCCAATTTGTGTCACAATAAGATTAAAAAATTACTCAAGGCATGAACCTTTTAGATTATTCAAAACAGCTAAAACTATAAAAGTTAATTTTGCTAATGTCAAGGAACAACTGAATTTGCAGTGATTTGGGCCAAAAAAGAATTAGTTGTCAAGCTGCACTCATAAGTTATGTTACATACATATACTTACGGAAGAGTCTCTTGCTAGACATTACTTTGAACATAAGGAAATCTGTTAAGGGGATACTAACCTTTTGCATGTATCATGTTTTGAAGGGTCCTGAAAATGACACATTCAAAAATAACAAACAAAAAGAAACAAGATTAACATAGCACATATACATTTTCTTGAATAGCTACATAAACCCTGTAACTGATACCAGAACTTCACTTTTCATGCATTTTGGTGTTTACAAATATATAAGCAATGGATGGACTGGGAATTTTATTTCTGATAACATACTGGCACTTTGCTAGGTTCCTTCCTATTGAAGAATCACTAATGAAAGCATAGAAATGACCTAAACTTTTTTAGATGTTAAAAAATGTTAATAATACAAACTACATTGAAATGGACTACTTTGTGGTCATGATGATGTGCCTGGTTCAGCTGGGCTTGCCACTGGCAGTAGCTAACATCACACTTTCTAAAAACCTTTTTTAAAGCCCAAAAAGCTCTTCTAACACGTAGATCAACTGTGAAATCCTCTAGATCACATAGATGATTGCTTTGTAGATCACAAAAATATACTGGTTCACTCTTTGAAATCATAATAATTATGAAGGGAGACCTTAGAATTGATTTCACAATGAAAAGAGAAAAAACAGAGTCAAAGGAAAAAAAATGACAAAATAACCTTAAAATATAAATCTTAGCAATAAAAGGTACTGAAGTATTGATATCTGCTACAACCTTCAGAGCATTATACTAAGTGAAAGAAAGCAGACACAAAAGACTACATATTATATAAACCTGCTTTATAAAGTGTTCAGAATAGGACAATCAATAGAGGTGGAAGTAGATTAGTGGTTGCCTCGGGCTGGCATGAGGAGGACGAGTTGTGGGGAAGTGGAAAACGGTTCCTTCTTGGAGTGAGGAAATTGTTCTCAAATAGACTGCACAGCTTTGTAAATACACTAAAAACCATTGACTTGTACATTTTAAATAGGTGAACTGTATGGTACGTGAATTGTATCACAATAAGGTTGTTATTAAAATTTTTTTACTCAATTTAAGTAAGTATCAAATGAGGTACTGATTCCATTAATCAGCTGTATAGTACAAAAGGCCTGCTAACTTACTGCCAGAGGACAATAACACTTTTAGCATAGGTTACTGCTGCCCAAAATACCATCTTTGCAAAATGTAGAAGTACTTCACGGTATGAACATGGAATATTAGCTCTGCTTAACCACCGTTTTCAATAATCTCCAAGAATTTCCAGAAACCAATCACATTGGCCCCAATATACTTTAGAGCAGTCCATGAAATGAGTTTTAATTTCACATATCCAAAACACTGCCATGCAAATGAATACATGCCCCAAACCTGAAAGAAATTAGCCTGTAGACAAGAAAAAAGTCAAATGAAAGGTTTTAAAGAAACCATACTAACATACTACTATACTTCTTTAAGACTTTAATGATTATTGTTATCTGGGACATTTCAGCTAGTCTAGTAAGGATCTGATTAATTAAAATGAGTTACAGATCAGTCTTTGAAAAATACAACAAATGTTACTCTCTACTTTACAGATTCAGAAGGTGGGAGTGGTAGCGATGGTAGTGTGTGCATCAAGTTAATTTATAATGTTGCCTTTTAAAATACATATTCCACCACAGCAGCTGAGAAATAACTGAATTCCATCAAGAAAATGTTCATGGTCTTTTATGCTTTAGCTACATAAATACCAATGATTTATAGACAAAAAATGTAGTTACTATTTTTAAAAGGGATAATTTGAAAGGCTTATATGAGAGCATCACAGCATAATATGTGTATTATGATGCTTAATCTATAATTAGAGTAAAAATCATATACTTCATATAAACAGATTCTCTAGATTTCAAAGCTTTTAGCCTCTTTTACGATCAAAAGCCCTGGATGTCTGCTAAGTAAGGTGAGCCTTAGAAAAAGGTAATAAGCAACTGAAGAAAGAGAACAGAGAGAGCCAAAACTGTACTATGCTGAAATGTAAAAATTTCTAAACAATAAATAATTTAAAACATATGGTGTTCTTTGAACTAAGTACTGCAAAATGTGCCTGTTTTAAGATCAATCCATCCCTGGGGCCGAAAAAAAAAAAGACCAAGTTGTCTAACTCATTAAAGGAAAGAGAAGAGAAGGAGGCATACACTCCCTCTAGGATACTGACAGCCAAGGAGATGCAAACCATAGTGACCCCACTTTTAATCAAATACATAATAATCAAAGAGATGTTGAAGGCACAGCTCTTAGCAGCCAAGACGCTCAGCCAAATTTGGAAATAAGCCAAATCGGTTATTTTTAAACTGAAATGAAAAAAAGTTCTATTAACACATAACCTCCCTTCCCTAGGCACAGCTCCCCCCAATCTTCATTTCCACAGTTAAGCACTGGGCTAAATCTAATGGATGCTTAAGGGAAATTCGTACAGTTTATAGTTGACTTTAATCTATCCCTTCAGGTATTGAGGCATATCTACCTGGTTATGTCCATGCCCAGATTTTAATGCTCTCAACCTTTGGCATGGAAAGTAATAATTGCAATACTATGACTTTAGTTACAAGAACGAATCAAATCCACAGTTCTTCCAGCATAACCCCTACCAAGCAATTAATATGCATGCTTCTTTTTCTTCAAAAAGCTTAGAATACACTGGCAAACAACAAAATTGCTGTGACTTTTGGTATTATAGGTTCTAAAAAAAAATTGCTGTTAAGTCTACTCTGACTTTAGCTCAAAACTCATGGAAATTAACTGTTTAAATAAAACTGGTTCCTCAAGTTCAAGGTTCATTAAGGCTTTTCTTCCCCACTAAAATAAATAAGTAAGGGCTACGCACTTGGTTCACACCTGTAATCCCAACACTTTGGGAAGGCTGAGGCAGGAGGATTGCCTGAGCCCAGGAGTTCAAGGTTGTAGTGAGCTAGGATTGTGCCACTGTACTCCAAGCCTGGGGGACAGAGCAAAATCCTGTCTCAAAAATAAATAAATAAATAAATAAGTATATTTATATACATATAAACACTAAAGACAGACTTTTTAGGGAAAAAGGAAATATTTTGTAATACCTTAATAGAATTTTTATAAAGCTGCTCATAACTAAAATTATATCTAATATCTTCAAGCCCAATGTTATAAATCAGTTTCCTAATTTGTAAAATGAAAGGCTCAGATCAAATAAATGTGAATTCTAAAGTCATATTCAATTATCTCAACACAATTTTCTAAGCCAAGGACATTGTGGCAAAACCTACAGGAGCAGGCTTCTAAAGGGTAGAGAGAAGAAAACACCATTCTCTCACGTCTAGGAAGACTGAAGAAGCACTACCATAGGTAGATTTTTCTCTCTTCCACCAGCTACATAAAGGAGTGATTTCCCAGATATTCATCCGAGAGTATAGCGTCAGTGCACCATAAGCATTGACCCAATTTGCTAAGATTAAGAGAATGACAAAGAGGCCGGGCGTGGTGGCTCACGCCTGTGATCCCAGCACTTTGGGAGGCCAACGTGGGCGGATCATGAGGTCAGGAGATTGAGATCGTCCTGGCCAACATGGTGAAACCCCGTCTTTACCAAAAATACAAAAATTAGCTGGGTGTGGCAGCGCATGCCTGTAATCCCAGCTACTCAGGAGGCTGAGGCAGGAGAATTGCTTGAACCCAGGAGGCAGAGGTTGCAGCAAGCCGAGATAGGGCCACTGCACTCCAGCCTGGTGACAGAGTGAGATTCCACTCAAAAAAAAAAAAAAAGAGAGAGAGAATGACAAAGAAATGTCACAACTGGCAACTACATGGAAAGGATGTGGGGGTCAATGGGGGGTGGATTTCACGATGAACTTTGTTTATGAGAAAACATGACAGAAGAGCACACACTTAAGGAATGGAGTATACTTTGTCATCAGGACATAAATGTAGGAAAGAATGAACCAGAATCATGATTATGATGCATTAAGACAGACAGGGCAGCCGGGCACAGTGGCTCATGCCTGTAATCCCAGCACTTTGGGAGGTCGAGACAGGCGGATCATGAGGTCAGGAGATCGAGACCATCCTGGCTAACACAGTGAAACCCCATCTCTACTAAAAATACAAAAAAATTAGCTGGGCATGGTGGCAGGGAGGTCGAGGCAGGAGAATAGCTTGAACCCGAGAGGCAGAGGTTGCAGTGAGCCGAGATCACGCCACTGCACTCCAGCCTGGGCAACAGAGCGACACTCCGTCTCAAAAACAAAAAACAAAAAACAAAACAAAACAAAAAAACAGGGCATTATACCTTCAACCTATACAGCTTACATTTAGGCTTTCAAAAGCTTAAAAGGAAAATATGAGGTATATATAAAGACCTTATGTTTTAATTCCTACATTGCTATTCCAAGAGGATTCTAAGTAGTTAAAATTGGAAAAAGCAGATTTTAAGCCACAGGACATCTTTGGCAAATTTAATGGGTATTTAGGTGGCCTGGTAGAGATTGTGTAGCTTTGAATTTGGAACACTTTGGTATCTCTGTAGCCAGTAACTTATGAAAAACAAGTTGGGAACTTCTGGCTTCAAATTCTAAACTGGAAAGGATTTTCCCCCCATAATACCATGGACCTTACAGTATGAGCTACCACTATATGAATTTTAACATTAGGTTCATTTTACCACCTAAAAGTTTGAGTATTGAAGGTATATGATTTCAGCATTTTATAGTCCCAACTATGACACAGTCATGTGGTATGGATCTTGAGGACAGCCTTCTCATCAAGCTCCAATATACTAAAATATACAAGTCAATAAGAAACATTTCTTTCTGGATATGAATATAATTTAACAATTACTGCCTTGCAAAGCATGTAATCCTAGAGTCGAACGGTTATATTAAAAAATTTCCCTGTAGATATGGCAAAATTCAAAGATAGAAAAACAGCTCCTAAAACAAATTGCTATAAACTCTCTTAAGAACTCATTGTGATAAAATATGTAACACCTCGCTCAAGAAAAAAAAAACTAACACATTCACAGGATGATCTCTATTGGGACTTAAGAAGTGAAAAATTTAACATTGGAGGACTGATTTGAAAAGAATGTTTCC